AGGTCACCCAGCCAGCTTTCATGCCTAATGCGGGAGTAGAACTCACATTCTCCTCTTCACCCAACTAGCTTTCCTGGTAGAACTCCTGGCGATTGGCCCAGTTTTCATGCCTAAGATGGGACTTCAGTCTCCTGGATTCTCAGCTGGTACCCGAACCACGGACTCTCATCTACCCTTGTTTTATTTGATGCTCTGTTTTGATTCGCAGGTGCACTGGATTCATCTTCCAGAAGGTTGGCAAACTAGCAGCGACCGCAGTGGGAGGAGGTTTCTTTCTGCTCCAGGTTGGTTTCTGTCCACTGTGGGCTTGGGAGTGGTCAGCGGTACAAGGAGGAATCTGTCTTCAGCAAGAGCTTCACCCTCAGGTTTTATCTCATGGTAGCAGCGACAGCAATCATCCTCTTTGAATGACCCCCATAATCCCTTGCGGAGTGGAGTCTGGGCCACTGAATGGAGCAGAGTGTTTACTGGCCGGATGCCCTTCCTGTCACCAGCGCGGGGTTCTATTCAGCTGATATAATCTCAACGTTCCCAGAGCAAGAAATGTTTGCCTCTACCTAGGATTGAACTCACAGCTTCCAGATTGTGTGGCGAGAGTTCTACCTCTAGGCCACCGCATCGCTCCCTAGCAGTGATAGTAATGGCGGTAGTTCAGTGGAGCCCTTAAGTCTCTTGCTTTCTGACTTGGCCATGTGGCACTTTCAGATCTGACCCACTCACCTTTTAATATAGAACCTTTTTAGACTAGGGACATATTCTGGCCAGCTCATATTGTGTATCGTGGGATACCCTGATGTTACCAATAGGACATCTTGGCTTGTAGAGATCAGGACAGTGATGGGATTCAAAAAAATTTTTTTGCTACCAGTTCTGTGGGCGTGGCTTGGTGGGTTGGCAGGGGAAGGATACTGTAAAATCCCCATTCCCTCCCCAACCCACTAACCTGCTTTCCAGCTCCGTTCTCCCATGCAGAGCAACCAAAGAAGACCCAGCCAATCAGCTGGGACTTGGGAGGCGGAGAATAGACGGGCGGGGCCAGTCAGAGGTGGGATTTGCCGGTTCTCCGAACCACTCAAAATTTCTGCTACTGGTTCTCCAGAACTGGCCAGAACCTGCTGAATGCCACCTCTGGATCAGGACCAGGGAACATATGACTCTCCTGTGTAGTTCAATAACATCAGGACAGTTTGCTGAGGGGTCTGGGGTCTTTCATACCCCTACCAGCCTTGCAGTTTGACTAGCTATAAGATGGTGGTATCCTTTGGAGCTGCCTGCAAGGGTCAGGTGGTTTGAGATCCCGCTCTGCAGTCATTCTGCTTATCCCTGGGGAGGGAACGTCTGCATTGCACGCCATTTTTTCCCCCCTTGTCACGAAGTGAGTCAACAGGGGAAATGAGCGCACTGTCCAGGGGAAAACCTGGTTTTATGTGCAAACCCCGTCTTCACGAAACCTCTCCCCGCTCCAGCTTGCAAACCACACGGGCTACATCAAGATCGACTGGAAGATGGTGGAGAGAGACGTGAGCAAAGCCAAGAAGCACCTGAAGTTTTCTGGCAGCACCTCCAGCAAGCTGGTGCCAGAGGTGAAGAGCCAATTCGACGAGGTGAGACTGAAGGCCAAAACCTGCAGAAAAGATGGCCACTGGGGTGTGAGTAAGAAAAGCAGGAGGGTTGTGCAATAGAGAAGGAGAGACAAAAGAATTAGGGGTTAGCCATCTGCAGCCCTCCCAGAGCTCTGCTTTCCTTCCAAGCTAAGTAACAGTCACACAATTGTGGAAAATCAGCGGCACAGTTTTCTCTAGCATAAAGCCAGCCAGACACGTCAAGTGAACGTCCTAGCAGAGTTTTGCAAACTCTCCTTCCCAAATCTGTGTAGATAGGACTACGCCCCTGCATTGTCACCTTCCCCTCAAAGCAACTTTGACAAAACTCTGGATATCCACAGGGCATGTCCGCTTAGATTGCATTTGGCCTGATAGATCCCCGTTTGGGAAAATCCTCTAAATTAGTCAGTAGTTTTTGCTCATCTCCCTTTGTTAGCTTTTGGGATCTTTGCTCCACCTCATCTGTAAGTCTTCCATGAGCTGATCAATCAGTTATTAGACAGGACTTAACGCGTGTTAAACTTTGGCTTGTTGAGCCACAGAATTTGGGAGAAACCATAAACGCTGGTTCTGCAGACACTGCTCAAGCGTAAATCTTTGTTTGCGAACCAGAATAGCAGGGTTCACCCAACATACTAAAGACATAGAATTGAAGTTTGCACAAAGGTGCCCAGCTACAAAGTGCACGTAAAGGTGCCCAACTGCATGGGAATTAGGTATTTTCTAAGCTGGAAGTGGGAGACAATTCTGGACAGCAGGAGAGCTTAGCCGAGTGCTGCTTTTGATCCATTGTAGTTGTTCTGACCCAGCTCCCCAAACACAACAAACCCTCTGTAGTTAAATAAATGTTTAGTTTATTAGGAGGGCCAGCAGCCCCAGCAAAAAGTCCCTGTCTCTGTCTCTCTCTCTCACAGCAGGCTAACAAGTCTGTCTAGCAGGGAGATGAATAGTTGTCTGCCACACTTATTCATCTCCACCCCCTGCCCTTTATCCCCAGAGCTAGGGTGAGGCTTTGCTAGCAGGGGTGGCTATTCCATCCCAAGGACCGGCCCATAGATTTCCACTGCTCTCCTCTCCTCTGCCATCTGTGCATCAGGCACTGGACCCAGCTGTTCCTCCCCTTCCTCATCAGCCACCTCCAGACCTGGGGGCTGTTGACTCTCCATCTGAGGGCTAACTGACAGCCCAGGCCTCCACCTCTCTCTCCCTCTCCCTCTCTTTCTCCCTGTCCTTCTCCCTCTCCCACTCTCTCTCCCCCCCTTTTCTCCCCCCCCCCTCTGCCAGCTCCATTCCCTCTTCCCCCTCGAGCTCTCAAGTTGCCTTGACTGCTGACCCGGACTCCCACACCACCTCCTCCTCCTCCTCTTGGTTCAGCTGCCGGCGTTGGCCAACAGACCACAAAAGTAGTCCAAGTAGCTGGCTTTACTCAGTGTGTCATTTTATCTCCCCGCTGTTCCCGGAGGAATCCTGCTTTGTGCGGACTTTTAATAGCTCTAGCAGCAGAAGTACGAAGAGTCCAAGCCCGGCCCTTGTAAACTTTATCCTTTCTCACTCCAGGCGGTCAGTTTCCTGAAGAGGAACGTCCTGCTGTCCGGAGGCTTCGTGGGTGGCTTCTTGCTCGGCATGGCTTCTTAAGGAATCCCCACCCCAATCTGCCTTTCCACCGGCTGGCCTGGCGGCCATCTCCCGCTCCGTTCCTCATACTGCCTGATTTAGCCCGCTGAAGCATTCGGCCTCCTGACTTGCCTTTCTTTCGATACCTGCAAAGTAGCATCCGGAAACACCACTGCTAGCCTTTCTTCCCTTCTCCCCCCGCCACCCCCAAATTTGTTAATTCGATACAGGAGGGAATTTGGATCGATCTTCAAGATGCATTTCAATCCCTGCCTGAGATGCCAGAATCTGCAGAAATTCCTCCTTCCCTCCCACACATTTATTTATTTTTCCTTTACTGGCATAACCTAGACAACTTACTGTGGAAGGACCCATCGCACCTGCTTTTGTGTTCATCCTCTCCTTAAGTGTCAAGAGTACCTCCTCCACCACCTAGGAGAAGCAAGCAGGTCAACAGGACGGGACGAGAGCATGTCCTGTGAAATAACTGCCATCCAGAAATGGCTGCTTCTCCCCGGCTTCCTAACAAAAGCCCGGGCCTGAGAGCAACAGCTTCTTGGACTCGCTCATCCAAGGTTGTTTTTTTCTTTTTCTTTTTTCATTTATACTACAAGATGACTGGAAAAAATCTGTGGAAACTCTTGACTCTGCCGTGTTGGGATTCTCTGTAGTCCTCTGTTGTCTGACCTGGAGGCCTGGAAAGATTTGGTAGCGCTGCCTCTCAAGGAAAATAATCTTAAAACTGGGTTCTTTGATAGTGGAAGGGGCTGCAGGATTAGAGCCTGGCCTTTTTGCAGATGTTCGAGATAAACCCAAGTCTCGGCCGAGACCGCTAGTGAATCCCGGGAGTGGAATGAATGTGGATGGCCTCGACTCTCTGGTTCAGAACTCCTGGGCGGTGGGGTGAAGTGTGAAGGGGCAACTGGGTGGGTTTGCTTATGCCCTGAGCACTGCATAAGAGAACTAACTTTACCCCAGAGCAAAAGCAGCCAAATTCTGGGCTCCATTGCCTGAAGTTTGTTTTCCCTTTATAGGAATTGCGATATGGAGCAGGAAGATATGTGTGTGCTTCCTCCTGAGGTTCTTGCCACCTCATCTGTGGGATAGCAACAATAGGTTGTAAAGCTGTCATCCTTTTTCTTTTTTTTTTCTTCCCCTCCCAGTTCCTATAAATGCATACATTATTGAATAACAGCAGCTTTCTTGGCCTAGAACCTCTTTCATTGGTTTTCATAGGTAGAACTCTGTGCCATTAAAAGCTTACACCGTCCTCCCAAGAGTGTTTTTTAGCAATAGTGATAGCATGTATACTTACAGGCCGCCCTGTAGTTGCTTACAGGATTCTCTGGGTGGTTTACAAGGTAGAAATAGCATTTGCATATTGCGCCCCGCAACAGTCCGGGTCCTCATTTTAGTGACCTCAGAAGGATGGAAAGCTGAGTCAACCTAGAGCCCCATAAGGATCGAACTCTTGGCACTGGGCAGAGTCCGTTTGCCATATAGTACTGCATTCTTACCCACTGCGCCATCAGGGCTTATATGTGCCCTCAGGATTCATGGAATGTTTCTAAGAACATATAGGACTACCTTGCAAAACTCCATCCTCTGGTTTTCATGAGACTATCCGAGGAAAACAACCAGCTTGATATTCTAATAAGTTGGACCCTCCAGAGTTAAAGGCCGACGGGCTGTCACAGCCAATCACTGATCTCCTCACCTGAATGAAGGCAACTAGAACACTTCATCCTTAGCGTAGGGTTTTGATCAGACAAGGAGCCATCCCCATGGGTGGTGTGTTTCGACCATAGAGATGGGGTAATGGGAAATCTAGACAGTCACATTTGAAGAACCTCGGGTTAGGGAAAGCGGAAGGTGTGTGTACGAGTGTCGCTGTGGCTGCTCATCAGTCTTCACTTGGCACAGATGGGAAACTAGGTTGGCCTAGACTTGTGAAAGAAAGGTGAGCTCTAGGAAAATGTGTTTATTAATGGCTAACGCCGAGGAAACTTTTGTTGCAGCCGATGGACTAGCAAAAAGTCACTGCAAGTTACCTGCTCAGCATCAACTAACAAATTAGGTTTCCTGTCTATGGAGGTTCTCAGTGATCCAGATCATTGGTTATTCCAAATGTGCTTCTTTTCAGGAGGCAAAACTGGACTTTCTGGTTTTTCTTTGAAGACGTTTCGCTTCTCATCCAAGAAGCTTCTTCAGCTCTTTTTTTCAAAGGAAAAAAACAAACAAACAGAAAGTCCAGTTGCCTCTTGAAAAAAGTACCTCTGGGACACATAATGTCTCCTCTTTCTCGGGCCCGTTAAGCAATCTGGAAACACCTTGGAATTCCAGCTCTGTTTGCCCACTGCTTTTGTGGAGAGTACAAGTAGACCTGGACTTACGACCATTCATAATGGAGTTACGATGATGCTGAAAAAAGTGACTTGGGACAGCCACAGCATCTCCCTAGCCACATGATCCAAATTTCGGCTCTTTGCATGTTTACGATGGCCGCAGTGTCGTGGGGACATGATCGCCACTGGTGACCTTCTGAGGGAGCGTCTCAAGGGAGGGGGAGGGGATTTGCTTAACTGCCCCGTCTTTCGCTTAATGACCATGGCCAAAGTTCTAAAATCGGGTACCCCTCCCTCAATAACCACACGGCTTGCTGGCAGACATTCCAGTCGCGATTGTGATCGTGAGTCAAGTGCTACCGGCATAGCTTTGTCCCTGAGTTTTAGAATCATTTGGTGAAAGTACTTCTACAGTTCTAAGTTGAGGACTTTTATGGATTTAGCGGCTGCTGCTCGGCTCCTAAAACCTACAAAGACTACAAAACCGGAAGACAAGCCCAGGGCATTATTTGGTTTTAGGCAGTTGTGGGATTCAGCCGGTTCACACCGGTTTGATAGAACCGATTCCTTAATTTTTTTTCTTTTTTTCGGCAAACCGGTGGGAAACGAATCCGTTTCAGCGCCTGGCACCAGATGGCCTTGCTTCCTCCAAGCATTTCTTTGCTCACCTGATTTCCAGCTCCGCCGCATTTGTCACCATCGTGTTCAGGGAAACAAAAGTTTGTGGGACTCAAAAAAAAGTTAAATTCCAACTTCTTGCGATAAATCAATTCCAACTTGTCATGGAAAAAAAAAAGATCTCGCGAAGTTGGAATTGATTGAACTTTTTGTTTTTAGTCCCAAACTTTTGTTTCCCTGCACATGACGGTGAGAAACATGACGGGGAAATGCGACAGAGCTGGAAATTAGGTTAGGGGAAAAAATGCTCGGGGGAAGCAAGGGTGGTGGGTGGGGCAAGTGAACCGGTTGTCAAATTATTTGAGTCCATCCACTGACAAATTCTGACCATGAACTTCCAAATCTGGGAGGCAGGACATTTTTGCTACCATATATTGAACTGAGGCGTTGATTCATCTTAACCAAGGGTCTTCAAACTTGACAATTTTCAGACTTGTGGACTTCAACTCCCAGAATTCTTGAGCTAACATGACTGGAGGAGGAATTCTGGGAGTTGAAGTCCACAAGTCTTAAAGCGGTCAAGTTTGAAGACCCCTGAATTCTTAAACCAAGGATTGTCATCTCTGAATAGCAGTGGCTTGCCATGGTCTTGATTAGCATTTTTTTAAAAAAAAATTAAAGTAATTGCCTTCCAGAATTTCCCAGCCGGTATATGTGGGGAGTCCATATGTCTTTAAAGTTGCCAAGTTTGTGAAACGCTGATCTTGAATAATGGCCTTTTCTAGTAGTTGAGCAAAGATTAAAGTAGACATGTGGGATTATATGTAATCATATGTGTCTTGTCGTTCCTGCTCCTCAAAGGAAATTGATGGTTGCTGTAGTCCTTGGGCAGCAGAATTCTAAGCTCTTGCAAGACTGGTTTCAACAATTACAAAGATCCTTAGAACTTTGGTGAATTTCACGGAGACCAGAGGCCAGTTTCAAGGTTTTTATTATCTACCAGGAGATGCCATGCTAAGGCGGCTTTAAACACAAGAGGGAGCTTGAATAAGCTGACTGAGCTGATTTGGGGGATAAAGAATGGATGCAGGAAAGAAAAAAAATCTTTTAAAAGCACTTAAGTAGAAGACCTTCAACTGACAGCTCTTTTATGCAGCACTTTGGATTCAGTCATCTGTTTAAATGTTTTTAAAATATATTTTTTTCCTGCAGGAATATGAATGGCCCACTTGTCTACCACATTGTAAAACAGACGTGTCTTTCTCCTAGAAACTATTACTGTGCAATGCAGGCAGAGTTGCTTGGTGTTGGAGATTGAAGTTAAACCATTATAGAAACTGGGTCAATTTTAATTTACCTGGGTGGGGCACAGTTGCAAAACTGAATTCAAATCCAATCAGCCCTCTGTGTCAGACTTAGAGGAATCTTATGGTTCTAAGTTTTTATACAATAGTCAAATGTTTTGAAGTGAGAATTAAATGGTTTTTGAGAGTCTCTTTTATTTATTGAATCTGTATGCCATCAGATCTCTTGGAAAATGGAAAATCTCTTGTAAGTTGCAGGGCTCATTTTTCAATTAAGCCTAGAAGAATTAAAAGGAAAAGTTGAGAAGGGTTATGAATGTAATTATTCAGAATAATTTTCATCTCATGAGGCTGTTGGTGTTTGCTGAATAGAGGGCAACCTGATGCTTTGCTAATTAGTTCATATTAGTTAGTGACCAAAGATCCTTGGAATTACTTCCAAGAAATTAGAAAGCAGAGTTGTTGTATGTCCTACTAAACAGTGGGTCTATTTCATATTTCAATACAGACATTTTTTATTAATTCCAGGCTGTGTAGTATTCTATCACAAATAATTCTTTTCCTGAGCGTGGAAAACTACAGTCAACTCAGATCACTGGTCTATCCAGCTCTGTATTATCAATGTCTGGCCTTCAACTATAACTCCTCACGTGGTTCTGACTATGCTAGTTTATTGCTGAGCTGACAACAGGAATACAGAATTCCATTCTAGTGCATTTTCGATTTTACTTGGAAAAGCTAGAGAATAAGCTCAGAGCCTCATATCTAGAAACCAGGCACTGCCCTAATGAGCTATATAGCCTCTCCCTGCAAATTCCCAACAATCCTGATAACTTGAAACACTTTACTGAAAGAAAGTTGCAGACATGAAATATATATTTGGAGGATTTCGTGGTTTGACTTCGGCTACTGAATATTTGCTCACGACAGTCATCAGATTTGAATAAGGGATTCTCTTGGCAATCATTCACAATTTTTAACAACTGCATTTCTCTGTGACTTTAGATTTTACTATAAGATGAGAAAGTTATTCGTCTTGTCTTCAGCATAATTCTGTCCAAGAAAGGATTCAAAAAATACGTTTATTCTCTCGGGCTTTAAATATTAAGATAAACATGATCATATCCTTGTATGGATTGAGTATTTTATTGAACTGCAAACAGGAGTCAGAATCTCATTCCAGCAGCTTTGCTAAAGCCTGCTTACGGTATACACAACATTGAAGTTATTTTGCGATGGTTTTGACACCTAGGAGGCACGAGATACAGAACAGCGAGAGTTTGTAAAGGGTGCTCAAAAAATCCCTTGGGGAGCATTTGATTTAAGTCTAAATTGGGGGCAGGGGGTGAAGAGGAAAGGGGGTGCTACACTTAACATTCTTATTCCCTTCATAGAAACGGGGTTTCATCCGGATAAATAGCAAAATGGTTGAATTTTAAAAATAATACTTGCAACTCCGGCTTTCCACAAAAGTGCCTATTGCTTTACAAATAAGGGGAAGGAGGCCACACAGCACACAACGTAGCTATCCCTGAAATCAGCTGCTTCTACCACAGCATGACATAAAACCAATATTGTGCAATTAGGTGTTGACCGCTCCTGAAATCAAAAGCTCAGAAAACCAGGTGGCTTTATCTCAGCTATGGGAATCCTACCGCTGAGCTAAACAGCTAGCTCTCTGGGGCTTCCGTTGCCAGCTTGTTCCCGTTTAGCGGAAAAGGACAACTTTCAAACAAGACTGAGGAACGACGACTTTGCTTCAACAAAGGACTTAGCTTACACGGACCACACGTAAAACGAGATTGTCTGAAATTCGACGTCCAGCCAAAAACAACAACAACAAAAAAAAACCAGGCTGGATTTCAACTTCCCAAGTGGAATATTGCTCTTCTGGACAACAGAACAAAGGACACGGACTATTCACAAATCAAGGCATTCTACTCCAATCTACTTTACAATAAGGCTACAGCAGTAACATCGTTTCGACAACAAAAGTGCTAGGGGCTTCTACTCTTCGGCCGACGACGGTCTGCAGTGGTCTTCGGGTTTCCGTCAGGGTCTGAAAGAGGAGCCGGCTTGCGTCTTGGGAGTAACCCTCCCACGCAAGAGAACAGGTTTGAGGTATAGCGCGGTAGCTACGTAGACGGCAGGTAAGGCTGCTCGGGCCCTCCCAGAGAACGGGCTCACTCAGGGCTTCAGAGTGGGGGGATGATTGGAATCTGGTACCTGCTTCTCTCTCTCTTTTTCCACCCCTTTGAAGCCTGAACAAGAGAGGGATACGCCCTTCGGGTACTGGGCGCAACAACGCCTCATCTCCTGGAAGACAGCTTCGCATTTAGATTCCAAGTAGTTGTTTGCTGCAACGAAAGAAGAGCAGTGGTGGAGGAATGGCAGCTGGGCAGGCAGAATCCCCTTCAAAATAGTCCTATAACCAGAAATGAACACATTCCACACAGTTTATAGCAGGGGTGTCCAACCTTGGCAACTTTTTGTGGACTTCAATTCCCAGAATTCCTCAGCCAGCTTTGCTGGCTGAGGAATTCTGGGAGTTGAAGTCCACAAGTCTTAAAGTTGCCAAGGTTGGACACCCCTGGTTTATAGAATAGGAATAGGAATAGAATAGGATTAAAATAGAATAGAATAGGATATTGGAATGAAAGAACAGAATAGAATTGGAATAGAATTTAGAATAGAATAGGATATTAGAATGAAAGAATAGAATAGAATCGATATTGGAATGAAAATAGAAATAGAACAGAATTGATGTTGGAATGAAAGAATAGAATAGTACAGAACCGAATAGAGTAAAGGAATTGAGTTAGAATAGATATTGGAATAAAGAATAGAATTAGATTAGAATAGAATCAATATTGAATGAAAGAATAGAATAGAATCGATATTAGAATGAAAATAGAAATAAAAGTGAGATCAAAATACTTGGTGAGTTCAAATT